CCAGCCGTAGCACCCGGCGTCTTCAATGCGACCGCACGCATAGAAATCAAATCCACCGTCCCCGCCGCCTGGGACGTACTCACCGACTTCGCCAACTACGCAGCCTGGAACCCGTTTGTGCGTTATGCGCTCACTACTTCAGCGAAGGGCAACCTCACCCTGCCTGAGCAGCGACCGGTCGAGGGCAACTTCCTCTTCTTCCGTGTGCAGATTCCTCCGCTTCCGTTACCAGTGGACAAGGACACGCCCGACAATCTCTTGCACACGCAGGCGTCCGCTGAGCGCATAACTCATGTGCAGCCGGAGTCGGGAAGATTGGCATGGGACTACTTGGGGGAACTCGCTGTTGCCTCGACGCGCTGGCAGGCGCTTAGCGACATCGGCAACGGAACTGTCTTGTATGAGTCGATAGAAGTGTTTAATGGGTTGTTCGCTGGAGTCTTGAAGGACACGCTTGGAGAGAGTCTGCAGAAATCTTTCGAGGCACAGGCAGAGGGACTGAAGTTATACCTTGAGTGTTAATAAGGCTGTAAAGCTAGGAAACTACATCACCTGGTCTCTATGCCGAACTCCTTAATGCAAAACGTGTATACTGTAATGTCTATAATCCCGATGATACGGCTGAACTGGAGAACCGGCATGGTTGACATGAACCCGACGGCGAATGAGCACTTCGGCGTTGCAAGCAGCCATTCCGACCCCTGTCATCCGTTCCGCGGCGGGCATGCGCGCATCTCCACTGTCGCAATCGCACATGTACAGTACACGCCGCAGCATCAGGCGCTCACCATGAGTACTTGTCTCAGCAACATGTCTCTGTTTTCTGGCTGTCTGTGATAGCACACGTTCTTTGGTCCACCACTCCCTCAAACTCTGCCCCGTCCATCGCTCCACAGTGAGCGCGCAAGCCAGTCTTCTTATCGCACATGTGCAGCCCTCGCCTTCCGACACCATGACGATGACCCCCGAGCTCGAAGCCTTTGCCCGAGCCATATCGCGCGTACTGGGCTGGGCCTACTTCCTGTCGTGGTCAGTACCACCCACCTCCTACACCACCTACCATCCCTCTTCCCCTCATACGAGACTGACCCACCCTCACAACACAGGTCCCTATCCTTCTACCCCCAACCCATATCGAACTACCTGCGCAAATCCACGCTCGGCCTCGCCATCGATTTCCCCACCCTCAACGTCCTGGGCTTCACCTGCTACACCATCTCCACAGCCTGCTTCCTGTACTCGCCAACCATAAAAGCGCAATATGCGGCTCGCCATCCTGACGCGCCGGAGACGACGGTGCGGTTCAACGATTTCTTGTTCGCGGCACATGGCGCGGTCATGTGCGTGATTATATATAGTCAGTTCTTTGAGAGGATTTGGGGCTTTGAGATCGGCAAGAGGCAGAAGGTTAGTCGGGTTATACTGGGGGTTTGGTGGGGGTGTGTGCTTGCTATTGGGGTTGTGGTGGCTCTGGTCAAGATGAATGGAGCTGGAAGGGGATATGATGCTGAAGGGTGGGCGTGGATCGATGTTGTGAGTTATCTTGGGTTTACATCTTCAAACCTCACGCGGTTGTACTGATACGAAGTAGATCTACACGCTCGGTTACGTCAAACTCCTCACCGTCTTCCTCAAGTATATACCCCAGGCCTGGGTCAATTACAAGCGCAAGTCGACACTGGGGTGGAGTATATACCCCATGCTTTTGGACTTTGCGGGTGGCTGGCTTTCGCTCGCGCAGTTGTGCATCGATTCCGCGTTGGAGAATGATTGGAGCGGTGTAACTGGTAATCCAGTCAAGTTTGGACTGGGTAACATTACCATCGTGTTCGACATCATTTTCATGCTGCAGCATTACGTACTGTATCGGCACCCGGGAAAGCATATCGACGATGAGGACGAGGAGGAGAGAGAGGGGCTTGTACAGGGTCGGAGAGACTAGTAAACATACATGCAAGGCTTCGTCAGGTATCCGACTTATCATAGCTCACAAGTTCTGGTCTTCAACTACCTTCGATTGCTGCTACGATATATACATCGGTGGCACAGACTTGACATCAACTTGCCATCTGTTGACATCTCGACAACCCTCATGCAAGTCTAACTGCAATCACCGCTACCTCTCAAGCACTCTTCCCCGTAAGCTTCTCACAAGCCTCCCTATACTTCGCCGCCGTCTTCTCCACAATATCCTGCGGCACCTTAACGCCCTCCTTGCCCTTCAGCCCCTCACCCGTCAACCAATCCCTCAAAAACTGCTTGTCGTAACTCGGCTGCGCCTTTCCCAGATTCTTCTCCCACGACTCCTTGGGCCAGAAGCGCGAGCTATCCGGCGTCAACACCTCATCAACAAGCACCACCTCACCCATCTCATCAACGCCAAACTCAAACTTTGTGTCTGCGAGAACAATACCAACTTCCTCTGCGCGATCCGCAGCAGCACTGTAAATAGCAAGTGAAAGTTCCTCAACGCGCTGCGCAATCTTCGCATCGCCAATCATGTCTCGCGCTTTCTCGGGGCTGATGTTCTCGTCTTTGCCACCTACTTCCGCCTTGGTGCTCGGTGTCCAGAGTGGTTCCGGTAGCTTCTGGCCTTCGACGAGTCCGGTGGGGAGTTTGATGCCGTTGACGGTTCCCGATTTGGTGTATTCGGACCAGCCTGATCCGGTGATGTAGCCGCGGACTATGGACTCGATGGGGAGGATGCGCAGACGCCGGACTTGCATGCTGCGGTCCTTGAGCGAGGTTTGGTCCTGGATTGCGGAGGGCAGATCTGAAGAGAGGAAATGGGTTTTTAGGCCGGGGACTTTGGTGGGTAGGTAGTTGAACCAGTATATTGACATGGCGGTTAGCAGGGCGCCTTTTCCGGGGATGCCCTGGGGTTTGTTAGTTTGAGGTCTTGGATATAGTTCAATTACTATTGAGGTTTGGTGAAGTTGAACTTACATTCTCCATGATCACGTCATAAGCTGATATACGGTCGCTCGCAACGAATAGTAGTGTGTCATCGTCGATGGCGTAGAGATCGCGCACTTTTCCAGAGGTAATCTTGGGCAGTTTGCCTTGGATATCGATAGTGGTGACTGCTTGAGCCGACATTTTGACAGTGAGTTGATTTCTTGGTGTTGAGTTCGGGGAGTGACTGTGTTTGGTGGGGATTTATGCACGATCCCGCGTCGAGTATTTTGTGCTTCAGCGGGGCCGCTGTGGCTTGCTCGAGGAAGGTGTGGCGGTGCTTGATTCAGGCTGCAATGGTTGCCTTGATACACGAGGCTCAATTATTCACGATTAGTACTAATATTGAGCCATGACCATCGGAAACGCATGTAAACGATTTCAAGTTCGTTTGAAGTAGTCGTGTCCTTCCAGTGTTACGTGACTGCTCCGGCCTAATCGGTCGCAAGCCCGGGCGTAGATCGATTCACGCCTTACTTCATTCGATCGCCTAGCCGCATCACTGCACCTCACCCAACCACCCCTTCATCACTCTACGTCCGTACAGCTAAACCAGATCATCTTTAATGTCGTCAGTTCAGTTCACAGCTCTGATACGTCTCCCGTTCATCCGGGGTGACTTTGAAGATCCTCCGCAGGTAAAGTGGCATCTGTCCGCGTCTCCGGGGCTCATCTGACCGCGACATAGGCACAATGGGATGCTGAGAGGGATCGCCAACTATGGAAGGTCATTTCCAAGTCTTCCAAGACTAGTGATCTGAACTGTAAGTATTCAAGCCCTATTCCAAAATTATCTCAAGAAGTACTAATCTATCGTAGGGGTCGAGTTGTACGGACATGCACGCTACGCAATGCATCAACCTTACTAACCATGTCGCAGAGCCGACAAGTTCCAAGTTCCACCAACCTTCCTTCTTCAGCAAGCTGCATGGCTATACGAGCGACATCTAGATCACGTTCGTAACCAAATGAAGAAAGTCAGCATCTCGAATGCTGCCCCGTCATCTTCGCCGACCGGTGGTAGCACGATGACTGCTGTGGGTGGCGTTGCGATGCGAAGAGGTGGCAGTGCCGGATCTGGAGGTACGTAAAACATCAGCATCATCTAATCTTGCTGACAAAATGTAGCTGGGAGGACTACATCCGCGTTGGCAGGACGCTCGAAGGACAGTCCGAGTCTGCGTGGCGCAGAGGTGGTTATACCCGGTGAGTCTCTCGACAAGCATTTTAGATGCCGCAGTAGATATGTTTTCTAACATATCTTAGCACCTTCGCTCTCGAGGACACCGTCTACCACCACGATTACTCAATCCCGGGCACTTACTCAGGCCCCAGCTCGAACTTTGTCTACACGATCGACTCAACGACCTAACTTAATTAGTAGAAGATCTGAAGATAGGGCGAATGCACCAACATCACCACCAAGTTATCGAAATCACGAAGCAGCTTCTCCAGACATTCCCGATTCGTCGTCCTCGAGCTCATCATCGCTTTCGGATACTGATCATCCAGCGCATCGAAGCCAACTCTTCAAGCGCCCGCCGCGTTTCCAACAGAAGAAACCGAGAGAGCTTTCGACGTTCGAAGAAGGAGACGGAACCCAAGAGATTGATGATTCAGGCTCACACGAGACAAGTCTACCTTTCGCAACTTCAGTCAGGACCAAACCCAGCATTAGCAAGCACGCGCAAGACTCACGCTTCCGAGCTAGTAGCAGCAAGGAGCAAAAGGTTCTGCAACCTGCCCGCGCAAGGAATGCCCCGCCCGTCAGACAAACGTCTATGGATGTACAGTCAATCGCGACCACAGAGACGGCGTCGTCGATGACTAGCTCCGGCGGCCCTCCTTCAGCCGCAAAGAGCCCTATGAGCCCTGCCTCGGATCACCGCGCGGCGCTAGGCCGACTCGGTAGTCCACGACGCGGGGGACTGCGTTCCAGAAAGGAAGGTAGTGAGGGCACGCCGAGTATGGGCAGCAGCTTCAGCGACATTGATGGTGAGTCCTGGGATTACCCACCTTTAGATTGATATACTCACATCGGACAGATGCAGGTATCAGTCAGTCAGCCCTGGAGGAAGCGCTGTTGAGCAACATGCAGCATGGTAGGATGAGCACACTCAGTCGCATGTCGAAGTGGTAGGCGTGACTGGAGTGACTGGGTGCGGTTCTCCGGACGCGATGGATCTCTTTCACTTCTATTACAGCTCTTATTGTGAGCCGCTCATCTAAATTCTATTGTGCAAGGCGGCAGTCTTGGCACTACTCTATCAACTTCGATTGCTACTCGCCCTCCACAAACAACACACTTACTACTAACTAAAGTCAGCTTACATAGGTCTAGTTGCCGACGCGATGGCTTCTCGCTCGTTAAAGCCCGTCGCAATGCCGCCGCCACCCATCATCCTAGTAACAGACCACTCCACAACACCCCCAACAGCCACACGCTACACATTCGACCGCAACGACATCGACTTCTCCCTCGCCTACAGAAGAATCAAATCCCTTCTCACCCACCCACCATGCCCGCACCACCCCCAATACCTCTGGCCCTGCGACGCCTGCGAGTCCGCCTTCACCGCAAAATACTGGACATGCGCCGCCACGCTCCTCGACTACTTCGCGGACTTCCACTCCATCGACACGCCCCTCATGCAATCGATATGGTTCTATCTCCTCGACATCTGGCAGGAAAGTGCGCATATCCTCCCCTACGAAACCGTACTTGATGAGACCATCGAACACAGTGTCGCACTCATTGGCAGGGCGCGCGCCAGAGACTTTGAAAAAGCAGTTCGCGATACCATTACTTTGTTCGAAGTCACGGTTTGGGGTCGTAGAACAGAGGCGGATTCCTGGGACCAAGTTATCTATGACCCGAGGGGTGAGGCTATGTGTCCCGTGGGAGAGTACGACACCGGTCCCTGGGCTAGTGGGGTGAAGCCCTGGAACCAGTTTCTGGGAGAGGGAGGAATGGGTGTTGCGGCGCCGTGGTCTGCTGCTGCTTCGACTTCAACTTCACAAGACAATACAAACGGAGACAGAGATGGAGATGGAGGTAGGGATGGGGAACATGAGAAGACAATAACCCGCTACATCCCCCACCCCGCCATCGCCCTAATAGAAGGCCACACCGCACGCTCCCGCCTCCTCGCCAATTCCTTCTACACAAAGCAGAAGCTCACTCCACCCCAATACAACGCCGCCCTCGCAGACTGGGAAGCACACACCGTCGTCCTGCCTTCCAAGCGCAGTCAACCCCACACGTACACTTCGCGTTTCACGGGCCGCGAAACTACATACACGTTATCCAATGGCGCGCCGCCGATTATGCGCTACGAGGGGCTCGGCGACCCCCAATTAGAACTTGCGGTTCCGGATGGAGATTGGAATCTGATGGATGAGTGTGTGGCTAGTTGTAGGGGGGTTACGGCGTATGTCGGTGTTAGTGGCGGGGATGAAGATGAGGAGGATGAGGATATGATGGATAGTGAGGATGAGTTGGTGCCGTTTGATTTGTGGACTGTGGTTGAGAAGGGGATTGGAGGAGGAGGACGGGGCGAGGTGTTGGATTTGGGAGGCACTGGAGGTATGTTCGAGACTTGGTATGCGGAGGAATGAAATTGGTTGGGTGCGGCTTCTGTGAGCGTATTGTCCGAATACTCGTGTTCATATCGATTAACTCTATGGGATTGCCATTTGGAATGTAGTTTGGGTTGAAGTATATTTGCTATATGTGCATATGTACAATACTAGCATTAACTCGCGCGCTATAGCAAGGTATTATGTTCGTTCATTACAAAATCAAATCGTGGATATCGTCGCGTAAAAGATCAATTTTCCTCCATATGGTCCTTGATGGACCTCATCCACTTGGACCACTTCTTCCTCGTTCAGTACCAGTTTATGGGGAGTAGTCCCTGGGCTTGCGCTGAGACTCGGTGTCCAAGAAGCTACCCCGGCTGCGGTTCGACTTGGTAGAGCGGCTTCGGCGCATGCTGGAAGAGCGGTCGCCGCCGAGACGGCCTCCGAGGCAGAACATGACGGTGGCGAGGAAGTAGCAGGCGACGGCGGCCCAGGTGAAACCCATGAGGTATTTGCCGATGCTAGCTTCGAATCCGGCGGAGCGGAAGGCATCGCGGCCCTTGACTACCCATGCGCTGGTGGATGTTAGTCAATGTACTTAAAGAACTAGGAATGAGTGGACTTACGTCATGAGGGCTGCGGCGAGCGTCTGGAAGAAGAGAGCGACAAAGGTCATCAGGGAAGAAAGGTATCCTCCAAGACGGCTGCAGAGCGCGAGGAGACCGGAGACGAGGGCGATGGCAGCGAAGAAGAGAGCAATCAGGTAGAAAGCAAACATGAAGCGAGATAGGTAGTAGTACATGTGGGTACCGATGAACTGCTCGGGAATGTTCTCCTGGGTGCCAAAGTTCCTAGGAGGGTCGAATGGCAGCGCTGGGACAGGTGAGCCGCAGTTGGCATTGTTGCCGGAGTCAGGGTCGGCGCCGCAGATGGCGAAGAAGGTCCATCGCGATGGGTTTCTTGCGTTGGGGATGCCGCTGGTGGTGGCTTCGAGGAAGTAGAATTTGGTGAGAGGAGCCTTGTTGACGCCGCCAGTGAGGATGGTCAGGAATTGGAAGAGCAGGCCTCCAGCGACCAGGATCAGCGAGCCGAAAGCGAGGAGAGGTCCTGCGTGGTGTGTTAGCAGATGCGCAACCGAAAGAGGAAGCGACGGGCGACTCACTAGCTACAGCCATGGTGTATGGTTCGCGAAAGAGTCTTTGTCGCAAGGGTATTGTTTATTAAGATTAGGATGCACGATAATGGTGCGATTACAGAGGATGGTTCGACGTGGCTAGCTGCGTACCAAACGCGCGATGAAAAGAGGCCTGGCAAGCTTGTTTATGAGCTGCGGCCAAGCGGGTGACGTAGTGCACCTGTGAATCGGCTCTTTGTTGGCGTCGTCGACTAGCTCCCTCATCGCACAGGGTTACGGCACTATCGCGCGCGCTTTGCATCATCCCGAGGCTGCTCGACACGTCCAAGCAGCCAGAGGGTCCGCGGCTTGTCTGCAAACATGCTGGCGGATGCGACGGATCGTGACGGAGGGCTTTAATGTGTGTGCCAGTGCGTGATGTGTTCGGCACGTGAAGAGATGGGCGGAGAGATGCAGGGATGGCTTCCTTCCTCGGATAGTAGCGAGATCCGCAGTGAGAGCAGTGGATCCTGGCCATCGAGGAGCTCGGGCAGCCCGACACCAACAATCTGCCGCATCGTGCCTTGGAACTTGGAAGCCATCACCGCCATGTCGACTGCTGTGTGGCCGCCCATCGATGACGCCCGCCTCGCCCACGAGCAGGCAGAGTCACAAGCGCGCGAGCTCGAGTGGCTGCTGGTGCAACTCCGCGAGACGCTGCAGTCGCTCAAGGCTGGCCTGGAGGAGTGCGCTGCCCTGCTTGCGCCGTCGGAGAATGGCTCGACACTTGTCCTGACTTCGGTGCGCTCCGAGAGTCTCAAGGGCCTCATTACTCGCGTTGGCACGCGCATCACCAAAGGCGTATGTACTTCACTCTCCGTCCCCATGCAGCAGCTCACACCGCGCAGAGCGTCAAGCTCCGCCTCGCAAGCCTCCCACCGCCCAAAGGCTCGCTGACGTACGACCTCGCCATTTCCTCTGCACCGCATGCGCCGACGCTCGTTGTGCCCCAGCTCACCTCGATTCGGACCTCCATCAACAGCTGCCTCGACGTCATCGACGTGGCTACCTGGGGCGGCGATGCCACCAATGCCAACTTCGTATCCGGACAACTGCAGCTGCTGCACGATCACATACTGGAAGCGCAAGCCGCGTTGAAGGGCTACTCGGATGTCCAGCCGTCGTGGTGGGAGAACCCCGTAGACGACAAGGTAGGCCACACCTGAACATTCAACACGGGCACTACTGACAATCACAGACATTCGACCCTCCACTGCCAGCAAATGTGTCCTTCCACCTGTTCGTCTTCGATGCCGCCCTCGTTCTCGAAATCCGCACTCTCGAGCCGCACAACGCCGGTGACAGCACATCGCTCACTGGCTTCAGCATCCGCAACACCTTTGCATCAGCACTTGGTGGGGCACGAGCACCTGCGCACGATGAGGCCGACCGCACGTTCAAGTACAAGGACCACGACGTCCGCGTGAAAGAGAAAATTCGAGTGGAGAGCCAAGACCCCGCTCTGATATCCGCGTCGGCAAAGCTCAACGCCTTAGGACACAGTGTGATGTTGAGCCGAAAAGCGCTCAACATAGTCATGGGTCGAGACGAGCAGATGGACTAACTCCGCGCAAGTCTGACAGCAGTCAATTGCACCATCGACCATTGGGCGGAACAACCACTCATATTTCGCCTTTTTCCGCGGGAATGCCCTAGTGCGATCGCGCCATATCGGCTCGTCGCTATCGGAACAAATAATGTGCCACGCGCATTATCAACACCGCCGAGGAGTAACCGCATCGACGATTGCCTCTGCTCATATTACTGCCCCTCCTTCGTGGAATTCGAAGTTGTTCAGATTTATCCTCTGCATACTTCATCATGGCGCCAGCACTTCTTACCGCGGTAGACGCCACATCCCACATCCACCTTATAGTCGGATCCAACCCACTAGCAGGCGCACGATGCGCACGATCAATAGAGGTTGGCGCGAAACCGATACTGCTCGCGCCCGAAGACTCCACACTTCACTATGGACTTGTCAAGAGAATTGAGGCGGGCGAAGTAAAGTGGCTAAAGCGGAGTTTCAAAGACGACGACTTGACCACACTTGGGCGGGAGGAAGTGGACAGCGTAGTAGATGCTGTATTTGTTACTGCGGGCGGAAAACATACATCAGGTAGGTGATGTGAGAGAATATCTCGAAATCCCTCTAATTCGCCACAGCAACCCACATCTCGAGTCTTTGCCGGAGACTACGTATACCAGTCAACGTCGCCGATGCGCCGAACCTCTGCTCATTCACCCTCCTCTCTACACATTCCGACGGCCCTCTACAGATCGGTATAACAACATCTGGAAAGGGATGCAAACTCTCTGCAAGGATAAGGAGAGAAATTGCGGCGTCGCTCCCACCGAAGCTGGGTGATGCAGTAGAGAGGTTGGGCACACTGCGGCGACGCATATGGGAAGAAGACCATGCGGCGGAACTGTCGCAAGATCTAGAGGCAGAGGAAGAAGACAGCGGGCAGCCAGCGACTTTCAACAAGTTGATCCTGGAGGAGAGCAAGGAAGCTGCGCGGGGACGTCGCATGCGCTGGCTATCACAAATATGCGAGTACTGGCCTCTGCGCCGTCTCGCTGGCATCACAGACGCAGATGTCGACATGCTGTTCCGCGAGTTCGCCAGCAGCAGCCCCTCCAAGGTCGGACCCACCGCCACCACGGCGGCACGACGACCAGGTCGTATCATACTGGCAGGCTCCGGCCCTGGCAACCCCGACCTCCTTACCCGCGCAGCACACAAAGCCATTCTCTCCGCCGACCTCATCCTCGCCGACAAGCTCGTCCCCGCACCCATCCTCGACCTCGTACCCCGCCGCGCAACCGTCCACATCGCACGAAAGTTCCCCGGAAATGCCGACAAAGCGCAAGAAGAGCTCTTAGAGCTAGGTCTGGAAGGTCTGAAGGCCGGCAAGGTAGTCGTGCGGATAAAGCAAGGCGACCCATACATCTACGGCCGCGGCGGCGAAGAGTACGACTTCTTCCGCGAGCACGGCTTCATACCGAGCGTGCTACCGGGCATCACCAGCGCCTTAAGCGCCCCCCTCTTCGCCGCCATACCCGCTACACACCGCGGCATCGCCGACCAAGTCCTCATCTGCACCGGTACCGGCCGCAAGGGCGCGCCCCTCGACCCACCCGAATTCGTAGCCTCCCGCACTCTCGTCCTCCTCATGTCTCTCCACCGCCTCTCCGCCCTCGTCGAAAGTCTAGTCGGCAAAGCATACCCCGCCGATCTTCCCGTCGCCGTACTAGAACGTGCTTCTTGTCCTGACCAGAGAGTCATTAGGACGACACTGGAACATGTGTGTGTGGCGGTTGAAGAGGAAGGCAGCAGACCGCCTGGTCTCCTTGTTGTGGGCAACGCGTGTAAAGTGCTTATGAAGTATGAGCAGAAGTGGGTTGTGGAAGAGGGGTTCCATGGCTTGGACAATCTGGGCGGGGATGGCGAGTTGGAGATTAGTAGACTTACTGAGGCGGCTATTGCTGCGTAGGTAGTTGATATGAACAAGAAAGTCAAGTTTAACATCACTGAAGAACGCTCTTGTTGAAATGGCTTCGTGCTATATGCAATCCTCGTCTTCATCTCTCTATGCATTCATCGTTCTCGTAAATTACTAGGCTCAAATCTTGTTTGTCCGTATACACATCGTTGACCTCTGAGGAGGAAGACTCCGCTTCCTACAACCCCTCGTCTATATCGCTCTCATTATTACCATACTATACATTCCGTGAACTTCGTTCTATTCAAGAAGTGTTTTGCGCCGTCGTGCCCAATTGCCGTGATACCCATGAATCCGTTATGTGAAAAACAAGATGTCCTCCAAACGCCAATGCTAAAAGTCGATTTTGTTGTGCG